CACCCATGGGCCCACCGATGAGCAGCCCACCGATGGGTGGTCCACCTTTGGGCGGCCCACCGATGGGTGGCATGGGAGGACCACCCATGGGAGGTCCTCCAATGGGCGCGGGAGGAACAGCGCCGCCGCCCATGAAGAGCGCAGCTCCGGCTTTTCCAGGCACTGGTATGGCTTCCTCTGAGCCTCCAGCAGCTTTTGCTGCTGCAGGTGCACAGGCCAGAGCACTGGGGGGGTTATCCCATGGACAGCGGCATGCCAGGTGCAGCAATGCCTGGGCAACAGCAACAAAGCTCTGGGCAAGATGCATATTCAGCACAGTTCTTGAAAGACGTAGAGACCTTCAACTCTCCGACTCATTTTGTGCGCTGTTCAGTTTCAAGACTGCCAAATTCTCTTAGTGCCAAGCAGAGGTTAAACATCCCATTGGGTGTTATCTTGCAGCCTTTGGCACCGGTGCCACCCGACATAGAGCCTGTTCCGTCGGTGAACTTTGGCGTCGTTGGCACCATTGTTCGGTGCAAGCAGTGCCGAACCTATGTGAATCCTTTTGTGCAGTGGGAGGCCAATGGACGCCGGTGGAATTGCAATCTGTGTGGTTTTTCTCAGTTGACACCCGATCCTTACTATGCATCCTTGGATGAATCGGGCAAACGCATGGACCGCTTCCAAAGAGCTGAACTGCACAAAGGTGCAGTGGAATACATCGCTCCAGGAGAATACATGGTTCGCCCTCCCCAGCCTCCAGTGTTCATGTTTGTCATTGACGTTTCCTACACGTCAGTTGTCACAGGCCTCTTACAAACAGTCGTCACCAGCATCAAGGAAGCTATAGAGTCCGGAAAGATTCCAGGTGGACAGCGTATACAGGTTGGCATCATCACCTTTGACACTAGTTTGCACTTCTACAATTTGAATTCCAATTTGAGTCAACCGCAGATGCTTGTTGTCTCAGATCTTGATGATCTCTTCTTGCCACTGCCCGACGACATCCTTGTGCCTCTGGCCGAGAGCGAAACGGCCGTCCTGAACTTGCTCGACTCTTTGCCATCCATTTTTGGTGAGACCAAAGTGAATGAGTCTTGCTTGGGATCAGCCGTAAGAGGAGCTTTCATGGCACCTTGGGTCAAAGTATTGCTGACCTCACAAAGTAGACAAGGACTACCGGAGATGTACTAGTATAGACTACCCTTATTCTAGCCGAGAGGGTCAACCAACAGGTGAAAGGGAGGAAGGCAAGCCGGTAGGGTTCTTCAAGGAGCTACCTGAAACAGTTCCTGGATTGAGAAAAGAACCTAAGAGCAATGGCCTCCAACCTAGAAGCGTAAGGCAATGAAGCACATTGGCGGAAAGCTTCTGGTCTTTGGTGCTTGCATCCCCAGCGTTGGCGAATTGGCGCTGAAGTCCACAAGGGACAACCCCAGGCGAGTAGCATTTGCAACATCTGGGGGGGTTCTTTAACGCATGAGAGGGCAGTAACTACACTTAGCATAACTTAGTTTACTTTTAGCTATACTTAGTATGGCACATTGAAACAGATTTCAAGACTATCCTCTTTGCATGTTGGAGGCCATCGCTAGTAGGTTGGAGGCTATCGCTCTTAGGTTGGAGTCCATCGCTACTAGGGTGGAGGCCTCTTTGCATGTGACACCATAATTGAACATCGGCGTCATCGCCTCAAAACATCCTGCTGCGTCAAGGCAGGTTTTTGAGTCGTACAAGTCATCACGAGCCAGCCCATGTTTTTGATCCCTTGATATATCATGATATCAACTCATGATATATGGATATGCACACCTATCACTGGAAGTCATGAGCCTGTTGCATGCTCAAGATCTTTGGGCTCAAGGGTCTCATGCAGTGGGCCTACGTGGTGGACCTGATTCGAGAGATCAGGTTCTTTTGGCCCGCTACTTCGTGCGGGACGACTTGGCCTTGGGTGCTCCTTGGCTTGGTTCTGGCCTTTTGCTGCGGTGCTTGCTTGGGCATTTCCTGCATCTTGGCTGTAACCTCTTCCTCTGTGCGGAGAGGGTTGGTGGCTGTTTGGCACGGTGCTCAAGGCCCTGATTGCTCCTGAACTTCCTGATCAGAGCCTTGCCTTGAGACGCCGGCTGAACCAATACCGAAACGAGCGTGCATGAGTGGGGGATCTCCGGTGGACGAGCTCACGGTCAGTTTCTCTGGTTTGACCATCAAGGTTTCAAAGACTGTTGAGCCCCAGGGATTTGCTGGGTCCAGTGACACGTCCAGCCTGAGTTCCTTTAGTTTGGTTGAGGATACGCCCTGTCCGGGTGCACTTGCAGGCCTGAGGTCTCAGGCCACCGAGCCAGCTCAAGAGGTTGGGCAGGCATCTGAGAGATCTTCAAGTGGAGGTCTGAGCTGGAAAGCGGCAATCCTTGCTGCGACTGATCCCGCCGAGTTTGAGCTCCTGGATTTGTCCTCGGTCCGTCACCTTCATAGTCGGATTAGGGCAGCTGGGCAGTGGTCACCTGTGGCCCGCTTGGGGCGAGCGCTCCGGCTTGGTGTTATATTGCAGCAGAGCAGATTGCGGGGAGATCCACTTCCCACTTCGCTCGACCAGACATCCCCTTGCCAAACAAGGTGTACGTGATCATCAAAGCTGCTCCCGGGCAAGAGCCTGGTTGGACTTCAAAGTACGGTGAATATCTTGAGGCTGTGAGGTTGCCAGGACCATCTCATCGCCTCGACCCTCAGATTGTCAGCCACGCTTTCTCCTCTCAGGCGGAAGCAGAGGCCTATTGCATTGGGGCGGGCCAGCCATGGCCGCTTCCATTGCACCCAGCCAAATGAACGAGAGCGGCCTGAGAGCCTTATTCGAGGCTCTTGGGCCCACAGGGGCACTGCCAGGCATCCTGCTGGTGCTCCCTCAGCGTGCAGATGGCATGGGAGTGCGAGTGGCCGGTCATCTGGTGAAGATCAGGGCTGGAGGGTTCTTGGTGGTCCTCCCCAATGTGGAAGAGGTGGATGCTTTCTTGCGCGAGCTTTCTGGAGAAGAGGGTGCCGACGGCGCCATCATTCATCTGGCAGAGTTGGAGCTCGAAACAACTCGTGGTCGACCTCTGGGAGCGGGCTCCTGCCTCCTGTTCGATTTGACTTGGGAGATGGCAAAATGGTTCATGCGAGTCTCTGTGCTGAGGAGTACATCGACCTACGAGGTCATCCGCTTCACTCACAACGAGGTGGCTTGCAGACCAAGAAGATCTTCAGTCGAGGCTGTGGCCAACGCATGGATCGCAGAGACTATGGATTCCGACACTGCTGGCGAGTATCTTACTGCAGAGGAAGCCGAGATCATCCCCGATCATCCGGAGGAGGAATGGCCAGGGCAAGAAGAAATGTAGGAGGAACTAATTTCACTCAGGCAGAGGCTCGCAGAACTGGAGGGGGCTCAAGTGCACTTTCCGGCACAGGCTTCCTTCACTCGGCCTTCCTTGACTACACACGATGTGGCAAGGCAGAATCCAGGCCTGTAGCGCTCCCGCAACTCCTCATCAGCCTTCGGAGCAGACGATGCAGAAGCTACAAGAGTTGGCAGGTGCAGCGCCCCTGAAGCTCGCTGCTCACGAGAAGGTTTCTCGGGCCGCCCGGCCTCCACAGTTTTTGGAGGGGCTTCAACAAGAGCAAACTCTGGAAGCTTCAGATGGTCAAGAACTGGACGAGGGCCTCCAGGAGTTAGAGGCGACTTTGCAGGATCCCATGCAGCGCGTGATGTTGCTGCAGATGAAGCAGCTACAAGTTCTGTCCAAGCAAGCTCGAACAAGGCCTACGACCCCATCCACCAAGCTTTGGCCGGCGGGGGTGCTTCAGACTCAGCAAGTTCGGGCAGTGGTATCAAAGGATGCCTGCTGCGTTCTTCTACCTCAGGGCGAAGGGATTGTCTCCCTCTCGCCATTTGCGGTCGGGGGGGCTGGCTGGATTTGCTGCCTGCTGAAGCTCTGGGGCCTGAAGATGAGATGGAGAGTGATGGAGGCCGAAACCCAAAGTCTGGTGGGTTGGGAGACGATGATGAAGTTCAGCCCGATTTTGCAGAGCAGGGCAAAACCTCTCAGCTGCCAGATCAAATTCAATGCGCAGAGTTTTTCTTGACCGCCTTGATGGTGGCATCTCAACGAGGCGGGCTTGCACCCTTCATGCGAGCCAGTCTCATACCAGTCCGCAATGCTGACGGGCCTTTCACTACCAGGTCCGACATGTGGCCCTGTCCCCCTCCGGTGTGGGGTCGATGGACAGAGCTCAGTTCCTTGTCACCCAAGCGCAGGAGAAGGCATAGATTCTTGCGCCTCAAAGCTCAGGCTGTGCAGAAGCTGGTGATAGCCGTGAACTGGCTGACACTTGGCCATGTCATGAAGCCCGGTCCATGCACGTGTTGGGTTCCCTATGAGCCAGCGTCAATCCGACATGCTGGAGCATCTTGATGAGTTAGTAGCCTATTTCCTGAAGGCTGGAACTGTCAATCAGGAGAGCCTTGGCCGAGCCGGTGAGAAGTTGAACAAATTAAGTTTGCTTGCTTTCAATTTGCCTGAAGCCTCTAAGTCCTTGAGTTTTGGTGACTTGGATAGTTTTTTGAGCATTTTGCATTCCCAATTCAACTCGTACTCCAACCCCAAAAGAGATAGGAAAAACCCCCGGCCTGAGCCAGAGCCTTCCCATGACAATGGCGGTGTACCGGGTTGCGATGGAGTCATGCAATTCAATGCCAGTTCAAGCTGATCGCATTAAATGGAAGCTTGCACCCACTTTTGATCCAGTTCCCTTTTTGTCGGATCCTGTGGTCAGAGCAGCCTTCAAGAATCCAGAAGTTCTTCGTCGCCCCAAGCGCCAATGGCCGCACAGACCAAAGGCTGTGGTGCACGGCGAACGTTCAGAGATCCTAAAGTGGGACAAGCTGAATGCTTGCAAGGTGGTGGCTTGCTCGACAGTTGCCCCGATGGAAGCAGTTGGCCTCTTTACAGTTCCGAAAGACGACACTTGGGATCGGCTCATACTCCACCCGACAGTGATCAATTCACGAAGTTTTGGGTATTCGAACTTCACCAAGACTATAGCACCGGGCTATTTAATTGGACAGATTCAACTGGGACAGGACGAACAACTTCTTTTGTCGTCGGACGACCTTTGCGAGTTCTACTACACTTTTGAAGTTAGTTCTGCTAGAGCCAAACGGAACGCTATTGGGGTGGTCTTTAAGGGTCATGAGCTTCAACACTTGTCTTGTTTCGATTCACGGTTGATTCACGAAGATTGTTATGTTTGCCTTGGAACCCTTGCAATGGGGGACGCATTGGCTGTGGAAATAGCACAACAGTCGCACATCAATTTGTTGAGAAGCCTAGCAGGATGTATGTTGACAACAGAGACCCTCCAATACCGTGTCCCTTGCCCGCGTGGACCCTTCTATGAGATGTTGACTATCGACGATCACATCGGCATCCAGAGGGTCTCTTCCAGGCACTCCTTGGCAGACCAGTCCACTAGAGATGTAGAGGTGTTTGCAAAGTCGGAGGCTGCTTATTCACAGGTTCGTCTGACAGCTCATCCAGGGAAGAGGCAAAGACAGGTGTCGGAAGCGATCGTGCTCGGAGCTGAAGTGCATGGGGTCGAAGGTAAAGTGTCGGCTCCCAGGACACGAATTGCAGTTTTGGCATACATAACAGCAGTCATTGTTTACAAGGGGGTCGCCACTAGAAAGGTTCTTCAAGCTTTGATTGGATGCTGGACTCATGTTTGTTTATTCCGTCGCCCAGTATTTGCTGTCATGGACCAGGTCTATCATGAAGGCAGTAACCTCGACGGAAACATTGTTTTCAGACTGTCCAAGCAAGCCATCAATGAACTGGTCCTTCTATGTGTTTTGGCACCTACAATGCAAACAGATTTAAGAGCTTCAGCAGTGCCCTCAGTGTTCATGATGGACGCTTCACCTTTCGGTGGCGCTATCTGCAGAGCTGCGTTTCCACAACAAGCAGTGAGCGAGCTCTGGAGGCACACAGAGCAACGGGGCTTTTACACTCGTTTGCAGCAAGGTCCAGGTATGGTCCTACATGAGTTGGGTTTGGAGCATGAAGAATTGTTTGGCCACAGTGAAGACACAACAACAGCTCAGATGCCCTTTTTTTTGAGGTCCTGAAAAGGTGACTCGAACTTTGACAGATGCAACGGTTAACTGTTGCGTACGATTGTATCGAATTGTTCACAGGAGTCGGGAATTGGTCTGCTGCTCATGCTGCAGTTGGCCTTCGGGTGCATCCAGGCGTGGAGAGATCATCAGCAGGCAGTTCATACGGGGATTTGTCAAACAACGACACTTTTAGGGAGCTCGCAGTTCTTGCAAACGCCGGGGCCATAAGGGAGTGGCACGCAGGGCCACCCTGCTGGTCATTCGGAACTTTGAGACGCCCTCGTCTTCGTTCAAAGAGTTGTCCTGCAGGGTTCTCTCCACAAGACCCCATTACAAAGGAGCAGACTATGTTGGCTGTTCGTACAGGGTTTTTACTCATGCTTGCATTCCGTTCTGGCTGTTTCATCTCTTGCGAACAACCCGGAGGTTCGGTGATGTTTCAACTTCACATCTTTCAGGTCCTTTTGAGCCATGGTTCGGGGTTTCAGAAGGCAAGCAAGTGGCTGCATAATAAGAATTGGTATTTGTCTTTGGAAGCTCAGTGCAAATGTCCCTATAAAGGTCAGCATTTCACAGTTCAAGGTTCCTTCACTCGAGCGGCTATCGATTTGTTCAATCAGCGTTGCCGTCCGAACACAATGAGTGTTTACGGTCACGAACCAACAGTTGGCGAGCCGGTTAGTCGGTTCTCGGCATCCTACCCCCTCCCCTTGTGCGAGGTAATGGCTGCTGGAAGTTCGCTGGCTCACAAGTCAACTGGCCATGCGTTCCTTCAGGAGCTCGTGCAAGATCAGGCTGAGTCTCTTGGCAGTTGTCGGGACACGTCGGTTCGAGCTTGGTTCGATGACCCCGAGTGGGTTCAGGATATTTGTGAGAGTGTTGAGTTTACAGAGCTTTTCCGATACAAATTCCGGAAAAACGGCCACAAAAATATGCTTGGAGTGCAGGGTTTACAAGTCCTGGTTGAAGCATTGTGCCAAGACCCATTTCAAATCTAGATTGGTTGCTTTTTTGGACAGCCGCGTCACGATGGGAGCTGCCGCTAAAGGCAGGAGCAGTTCCAAAGCATTGAGTCGCATCCTTCGATCCAGTCTTGGTTACGTTTTGGGTAGTGCCCTCTATCCGGGGGCTTTGCACTGCCGCTCGTCTTGGAATCGGGCGGATGGGCCATCAAGAGATTGCCCAGTGCCCGGACCTTCGAAACCGGAACCTGAGTGTTTTTCTTTCATTGCTCAGTCGGCATTTGATTTTCTCCTTGACTAGTGACTAGTGAAAGTCTCTTTGTAACCCTATCAGGAGCTGTTTATCCAGAACAAAGCTAGCAACTCTGTATTTTCTCATCTGGCAGCTCCTAATATTTCCTCAACTCCTTTTTTACTTTTCTGGCGATGTTCCTTGGCAGCTTGTCTCTTCGTCGACTTTCTTTTGACTTTTTGTTTTTTCTGTTAACTTTTCATTGACTCTTCTTCAACTTTTATTTTTTTGTTGGTTTTCCAGCCTGTGGCCTGGACTGGGGTTCTGGGGTTCATAATGGTAGCATTCAGAGCAGGTGATTTCAAGTTGTCCGATCGCATGTTAGAAGCTGCACGCTGGAGCAGACCGGTCGGTCGTTGGTACAGATTGTTGCTCTTGCTTGCTGGTGACGTCGAAAGGCATCCCGGTCCTTCTAGGCCGGACACTAAAGAAGTTCGGTATACGCCGCGTGGTGAACTGAACTTGCTAGGCGGGTTGTCACAGGCGACCAGTCAGTGCATGCAAAGATGCCTTGAGTTGTTTGAGGAGTGGTGCAGTGTTGTCATCGGCTGAAGTGGCGAATCTTGCTTTACGTGGCTATGGCCTCTCGCTTTTTCGCGAGGGAAGGCCCAGGTATTTGTTGGTTTACACCATCACAGCCATTCAACAGTTGAGGCCTGATTTTCGTCGTCACCTAGCCGGTGCTTGGCAGGTTGATTACAAATGGCAACTTGAAGAACCTGGACAGTGTAGAGCTGTCCTTTCAGGACCCGTGGTGAAAGCCATCCTCTGTCTCGGCTTGCTTTGGGGGTGGAAGCATTTTGTCTGTGCTGTCACTCTCGGCTTTGGAGGGATGATGCATCCCAACGAGTTCTTGGTCCTACAAAGGAGCGACCTTGCGTTTCCTCAAAATGCAATGTTGGCAGAACGGTTCTTATACGTGTTCATCAAGAACCCTAAAACTGCCAGATTTGCCAGGCGACAACATGTGAGGATCGACGATCTTTCATTAGTGTTCTTGCTCAGAGTGTTGGTTGGCTCACTACCGTTGGAGGATCGCATCTTCCCGGCGTCTACAGCAGTTTTCAGGAGACAGTGGAATGCCATCCTTCACAAATTGGAGATACCCCGCAGACAGTTGGACAAAGGCGCAACCCCCGGAACCCTCAGGGGTTCCGGGGCTACACACGAGTACTTGAAAGATACCAGCATTTCTTCCATACAGTGGAAAGGTAGGTGGGCCCGGCTTCGCACCTTGGAGTTCTACATCCAGGAGGTCGGCGCTCAACTTTTCTTGTTCAGTCTTTCTGATCGAGCAAAGCGTCGCATTGCTTTGTTGGAGAGCCACCTCGAAGTTGTTCTCAGCGCTCTGTTTCCTCAGGAACTGAGGCAGTTTGCAACGCAGGAAGTTGTGGGTGGAAAAGCTTGGTGATTTGACTTTTGAACATTGAGTTGCAAGCGTGTGTTGTACATTGGCTGATTCATTGTGCAGAGCATTGCTGGACTCATTGTGGAGCATTGACAGTTACATTGGTTGAGCGTGTTTGATTGCATTGCTCCAACAGAGTTGAGTTGTCACCGACGCTTTCCTTCGCAGCTTAGGTAGCTACCTCTGCCCTGAACATCAGGGCATGGGCACTTTTGCAACAGCGGAAAACAAACGAGAGTGATGTACTATAGATAGATGTGTGATTATATATGATATATTCTCTAAAGAAATGCAATATATTTTCCATCTGAAATCTTGCATCAGATCTCCAGGCTGCTGGGCACTGACCGCGAAGTTGAGTTGCTGCGGCCTGCTGGTGACTTTGGCTCAACCCAGAGGCATTTGATGTGATGTTTCCCCCACCATTTCCGAAAAGACCTTAAAATAGCGATGGCCTCCAACCGAAGAGCGCCCTTGCTCCTAGTAGCGATGCCCTTTGTTCCTAGTAGCTTCTTGCTCCTAGTAGTAAGGCTAGCTTCTTGTTCCTAATAGCGATGGCCTCCAACCGAAGAGCGCTGGCCTCCAACCTAAAAGAAACAATTACCTGTTGAAGCAAGTATGTTTCCTCTCGCAGAAACTATTCAGTTGTGTCTTCTGGTAGCACAAGGAAACGATGGCTACAAAGAGCTGGGCAAGGACGATGACTTGGTGATGCATTTGGGAGTGGAATGCAGTGAATGAACACATCGTTTCTCCTGACAAAACAGACCCAACTGACTATTCGGTGACGTCTTTTTAATTGGTATGCCTTTTCTCAGATGCATGTTTGAAACAGCACTTCTGGCGTGTAGTATTGTAGTTGAATTAGGTTGCAGACCATCGCTAGTAGGGAGGCCATCGCTAGAACGTTGGACTTCCCTTGGAGGAGTTGACTCCAGCTCAGATCTCCGTGGAGTTGTTCTTGGCTCCCCAAGCCTACATGGACTTGGCATCCATTTGTCCCCTTGCAAAGTATACGGGCGGCGATGTCCACTACTACCCTCAGTTCAACATCAATACTTGCTTTGTATCTTGCTAAAAGACTGGCTGTTATTTTTTTTGTTTTTTCGTGGCTGGTTTAGATGAACACGGACTATGTGTCGACACTGACTATGTGTGCGACACAAAGCATGGACCGTGTCACCCGTGTCTGAGGAGAAGTTCAAGGCGGAGTTGGTGCACGTGCTCACTCGCTACATGGGCTGGGAAGCGGTGATGAGGGTTCGAGTCTCCAGAGGGTGGAAAATCACCAAGTTCGATGGACACCTCTTCATCCGCGGTCAAGATTTGCTGGTGGTTCCCAACTGTCATTCTGATCAAACCTTTGCAATTCAGATCGACATGGAGGAGAACGTGACACCGGATCCGGTGCTCTACGTGCAGAGTGCCCTCTTGTATACCAACAGCGAGGGCGAGCGGCGCATCCGAGTGCACACGTGGGCCGCCATGACCACTCCAAACTTCAATGACATCATTGGCTCCATAGATGTGCAGGCATTGGGCAAGAGACGAAAGCCGAGATGAGAAGACATGCTTTTGTGAGACGAAAGAATTGTCCGCACCCGACACACTAATTAGTAAGCATGGAAATAAAAGGGTAGTCTGAATTGGTGCGCACATGTAGCCGAGCCTTTGAATTAGCAAGATAACTTCACATATAATTGGTACTAGGAACAAGAAGCTACTAGGGGCTGACGCTACTAGGGGCTCCTGGCCTTACTGCTAGGAGCAAGTAGCTACTAGGAACAAGAAGCTACTAGGGTCTTGCATGTGGGACGCCCCCGATAGTTGGACCTATGCAAACAGCTTTTTGCTGTTTCCATAGCCTAGCCCGGCCTTCTTGCTCACTGCTGCTTCGTTATTGTTCAATTGGCCAATTGCAGTTGGCCGGAACTCAAGGTGAGAGAAAGTAAAGCAGGACTCGGGGGTGGTGGCCTCCAACCTACTAGCGATGGCCTCCGACCCAAGAGCGTCCTTGCTCCTAGTAGCGATGGCCTCGACCTAAGAGTGGTGGGAATCTTTTAAGTCCTTCCTTGGAGCCTGAAACACTTGTGGTTCGCCATTCGCCAAGCTGCAGCAAGGAAGATGCTTTTGTACCACTCTCCCATTGCCTCAGGGAGTGTATCTGCTCTCGCAAACCCGCAATGACTCTATGGATAACAGTTTGTGCCCACTGCAGATTCAGCAACTCCTCATCTTTCCCTCGAAAAAGGAACTTTCCCACTCTTCCAGAAAAGAGCAAACGGAGCCAGCTATTTGGTTGGAGGCCATCGCTACTAGGAGCAAGCTACTAGGAGAAAGTAGCTACTAGGAGCAAAGGGCATCGCTACTAGGAGCAAGGACGCTACTAGGGGCTCCTGGCCTTACGACTAGGAGCAAGTAGCTACTAGGAGCAAAGGGCATCGCTACTAGGAGCAAGGACGCTCTTAGGTTGGAGGCAACGCAGATCCTCCAAAAAGGAGAAGAACATGACTCAAGCGCGTCACTTGAGGGCAGTTGACGTGGAGCGGTCACGCTCGAATGCTTGTTCTCATAAAGCAAGGACAATACTAGGGAGGCCGCCACTAGGGTGGAGGCCATCGCTACTAGGAGCAAGAAGCTACTAGTAACAAGGCCTGCCCCAAATTTCCAAGCTCCAAAGCATCGCAAGCAGGTGTTCATCTACAGCTACAAGACACGTCCGGCTCCCCGTAAGCCAAAAACTGCCTGTAAGGTCCGAGTACGTGCAAGTACTCCAAAATGACCCCAAGCTTTCCAATGAAGCTGCAGCAATCAAGCTTACAAAGCCAAGCCCCAAGGTTGACACCTTTTAATGATATAGTTCAAGATACAAACAGGGTTGGAAAACCCAAAAGTTCAGCGTGTTTTGGTTTTGGCTCTTTTGGCACCTCAAGATTGCTCCTCCGTCGTTTTGGTTTGCGGGGCTCCGTAGTGACACAGGTCTTGTAGTTGTCGTTTCATGTTATTCTAAGGAGGAGCGTTTTCTCCATTTATGTGAACTAGCAGAACGATGCATTGTTTGCATGTTTGCTCTTGGAAATGTCCAGTCTACGCAGGGGAATGGACCGCTGCTTTGCTCTCAAATTCTCACAGCACCTGGCACATCCGTGTTGAACAAAGCCCCGTGTGATGTCCATCGAATCGCAGATCTGTAACACATCAAATGGCCGTAGCGATGGGCTGCAACCTGGAAGCGATGGCCTTCAAGATCAAACGATGCTACCTCGTAGAGGTTGACAACCTGTGTCCTAGCCTTCCTGCACGTGCTGGATGGTCGATGATCTGTCATGCCACATATTAAAGAGAAAGTACTTAGTAAGGCCGCCAAATGCCTAGGCTTGAATAGACAGGTGTAATACAGAGGGGTCAAGCCATAAAGTTTCCGACGAAGTTTCTGAAGCTCCAAAGATTCCAGACAGTTAAGATCACAAATCCCCAGAGAATCAACAGGTCCGAAACTCTAAGCGTCCTTGTTCCTCATAGCTTCTTGTTACTACTAGTAAGGCACTTGTTACTAGTAGCGATGCACTTGTTTCTACTAGTTTCTTGTTACTACTAGTAAGGCACTTGTTACTAGTAGCGATGCACTTGTTTCTACTAGTTTCTTGTTGCTACTAGTAAGGCACTTGTTACTAGTAGCGATGCACTTGTTTCTACTAGTTTCTTGTTGCTACTAGTAAGGCACTTGTTACTAGAAGCGATGCACTTGTTACTAGTAGCGAACAGCAGGAAGTGTAGAGTGGGTTGATATCCGCATGTACTGTGGCCGCTTGTTTGGACCATCGCGAACGGTGCATGGATTGTACATTGGCAAAGCACAACGTTTCATTGATTCCCAAGCTTTCATACACAAACATGTATATATTGTATAGCTAGTAGGTCGGAGGCCATCGCTAGTGGGTTCCTTTTGCTATTAGGTTGGACGCATTGCAGTATGTTGTCAGATGTTGAACATGATGCTGGTTGGTGTGCAAGGCCAGTGCCGTGATGATGTCTCACCAGGCATTGGAACAATCTTTGAAGAGCAATCAGACGGATGGTCGAAACAAGTTGAGTTCTTTCTGCCAACAAGTGGTCCAGGCCGGGAACATGTCTCCTCAGTCAGATGCTCTTCAGTTTTTGCCTCTATACATTATGGGGATGCTGAAATCAGCTGCGTTCCGTGCAACGAATGACATCTCTGCAGATCTCCGAACTTATATTTGGATGCGATTAGAGACGTTGTCTGTCTCGCAGAGCGCAGCTTTTTTCAACCCAAGGCTCATGGCGCTGCACAATGCTCCCGATTCATGCCGTGTGCCCAACGAGCATGGACAGATAGAGTTGCCTGAGATGCTGAACCTCACCAGTGAGTCCATGACCCAAGATGGCGTCTACTTGCTTGAGGATGGCGAGTCCATGTATATGTGGATTGGCAGAGCAGTGGACACCAGTTTCTTGCAAGCGGTCTTTGGCACCGGATCATTTGAGCAGATGGATGTGCTTGCTGCCGAAAGCATGGCGGGCACTCGTGGAGATCCCTTGTCAGAGAAAATCGCCAACATTCTCAGACAAGTGCGAGCAGAGAGACCGACCCCTTTTCTGCAGCTGCAGATCTTGCGGCAAGGTGATCCCAAAGAGGCAAAGTTTTTCGCAGCCCTGATCGAAGACAGGACTGTTGGCATGCAAAGCACATACACAGAATTTTTGCAGCGGATGGGTTATCGATCACCCCAGCAGCAGGCCCCTCCACAAAGCGGTATGCCAGCAGGCGGAATGATGGCACCACCGAGAGCTTATTGAGGAGCTTATTGAGCCTGACCGAATGAGAGAAACAAAGTAGCAATGTAGACCCCAACGCAAAGCTGGAAAAAGGCGGCCGAGTTACGTGTGCTCGAGTGGCTGGACATCATGTGGCATGCTGTATGTTCTTTTCATGGCGCTTTGAATATAGCTACTAGTAACAAGTGCCACGCTACTAGTAACAGGTGCCTTACTACTAGTAACAAGAAGCTATTAAATTAATAGCTTTTTGTTACTACTAGTAAGGCACTTGTTACTAGAAGCGTGGCACTTGTTACTAGTCAAGGGTTCCAAGACCCTTGCGCAGGTGCGAGGTCAGCCCACGTCAACCCTCGACACGACCTGCTTCCTCTCACAACAGGTCATGACAGCATTGGCAAATTCTCCTAGCACGGCTCCATATGCTATTAGGTTGGAGAATCCTAGGTTGGAGGCCATCGCGCTACTAGGGTGGAGGCCATTGCTACTAGGGTGGAGGCCATCGCTACTAGGGTGGAGGCCATCGCGCTACTAGGTTGGAGGCCATCGCTACTAGGGTCGAGGCCATCGCTACTGGGGCGGAGGCCATCGCTACTAGGTTGGAGGCCATCGCTACTAGGGCGGAGGCCATCGCT